CCCTTTAAAAAAAAAAGCAGCCTCAGGGCTTCTAGGGGCTCATGGTAGAGCCCCGCCATGCAGTGCGGGGCAGTGGGGATTGCCCCCCACCAGGCAGTAACCGGTGAGTCAGGCCTTTTTTTTTAAAGGGCTGGGAGCTAGGGCAGGTGGGCAGCCATGGGGGGGCTGAGAGAGTAGGCAGGGGTCAGGGAGCTCATGGCATAGCCCCCCACGCAGTGTGGGACAACGGGGAGGCAGCAGGGATCCCCCTCATTGTCCCAGCAGCCAGTGAGTGCAGGCTTTCTTTTTAAAGAGCTGGGAGACTGGGCAGGGCAACCATTGAGATCGGGTGGGGGATGGGGCTGATTTGGAGATTCGGCCAATTTGGCTGTAGCCAAATCTCCGAATCAGATTCAGCTGAATTGAATCGGGACAGTGATTTGAATCACTGAATCAAATCACTGTCCCCTGAATTGGCTGAATCTGAAGCGAATACTAGCCACTTCTCACAGGCTTAGTGTGTATACTCTTTGACTAGGTATAGACATTCAAAAAGCCTGAGGTTGAATCAATTCAGTCCTTGCAAGTTAGTCTAAACTGCACAGATTAAATTGAAACAGAAGCGAACAGACATTTACCTTTGATACAGGAAATGTAGCTACTGTACATACTTACAGTGGCTCAGGCCAGAGGGAGGGGAGGGGCTAGAGCACAGTTCTCTGGCTGTGTGTTAACTTTTTCTTCCTGCTACCTCTGAGGTTTCTGGGATTTGTAGTCCAGAATTACAGCAGCAGGACTCTGCAGGCTTGTTCATCACTTCCTCTTCCCACTTCCAGGTGCCTCTGGAATTTGTTGTCCACAGTTGCAGCCAGCAGTAAGTTTGAGTGGGGGAAGGGGTGTTTAGCCCCCCCCGCCCAGTCCCAAACCCCAGCTGGAGCGGTACTGAGCGGGAGGTAATCCTCCCTCTGCAGACTGAGCTGCATCCCCAGGTGGGCTTGTCCCCCACTCTCCTTGTTAGCCAACCCTCACTCCTCCAGCTGGGGAGCAGAGGGACAGGGCCATCCCTACTCTCTGGACCAGACAGCACAGCTCAGCCCAGGGCTGGAAAGCATGCTGGGATGCTGGGGGACTGTGATTTAACCTGAACCAGGAAAGGGTTTGGGACAGAAGTTTCATAAACCAGTTTGACCCATTTTGAAACTGGCTTATGTGCACTGCGCTTCTGTTTTGTTACAGGTTTAAGCCAGTTTCTGATCACTTAAACCGGTTTATGTGTATCTTCTGTCCCTAGCCTTGGATTTTCTGCAGCTTCAATGAGATATACAAGATATTGACAAGATCTAGGGCTGCTCTGACTTTAGACCTTATTCCTGAGAGCCTAGTGACCCTTCACCAAGGTAAGCCACAAACAGCTCACTCCCTTGTTCCCTCTTGAGAAAAGAGCAATAAATGGTTGCAAAGAGGCCTCTAAGTACTTTTTAAAGAAATGCTGGGAGGGTGTGTGAGATGTATGCTTGAGTGATGAACTATAAGAGTTCACTGGGTCTTAAGACACATCCATGAACATGTCAAGGCCTCTTCACCTGGCAGCCATATGGAGCCACGTGGAGCCAAATGTTGCCCTAGAAGAGGGAGGATTGAGACAGTTTCCTGGAGTCTCTCCTGTTTATCCTACGATTGTTCTATTTTCAGAACACACATGGGTTGGAATATGATGATGGATTTTGTAAAAGAACTGACAGTGTGAAGGGAGGCTTTCCAAACTGACCAAGGGTCAAGCTTGTCAAACAGTGTCCAGGATTGTACTGCATTATTGGCAACCAAGCCATGCAACATCCTGATTTGTTCGAAGGATCCCTAGGGAGTGCAATAGTGGAGCAAGTTGGATTGTAAACCTAAAGGTGTGTGTAGAATATGGTTTGCTCTTCTGTGGGCGCCATAGCACCCAGGTTTACTTTCCTGCTTTCCAAGGTTGGGCCTATGACACAGCAATCACACGCCATGCCATCCTGACCAGCCAAGTACCCAGAGAAACCTGTTGGCATGAAGTACAGACTGGAGATGACATCATCTGATGTGCTGGATTGCAGTCCTGACTGGTGCCACGTGATTCTGAAAGTGATGCAAGCTGGAGAGTGAACCCTTTCCTTTTCTTCCATTCACTAACTTTCTTCTTTTTTTTTTGTTTTTCTCTCCCTTGTTACTTTTTGTAACCACTTTAAGGTGCAAGTGAGAGTGTGTGTGTGTTTTGAAATGTTAGCTTGTGTGTATACATTTATAGTAGGAAGATACAATTAGTCATTTCCTAACCCAATTTCTAAAGACCCACCCCCGCTAAATCCCAGAATTGTAAAATAGTGTTAACAGAACCACTCCATTCTGAGAAGGGGAAGAAAGTCGTGGTGACCAACGTATATCAAAAGTGGCTGAATTAGGCCAGGGAGGAATAGTGTGGTTATTTATATAATTTTGTGGGACTATTCCAGGGATTAGGAGCATAAGTGTGATCTTGTTTCAACCTGTATGATTCCTGGAAAATCATTAGCATGCTTACTTGTAATCCTTGTCATTTTAGCTACAAAAAACCATTGGTAAAGCAGAGGACCTATCCACCTTTGTGTTAATTGTTTTTCAGGAACTTGAGCAAGATGCAATACACTTAGGTGCCTGATAAGTGAAGCAGTTCTGGCCCGAGGTATGTAGAAACTTTGGAAGGGTCTATATGATCCTTCAAGGGTTTGAATTTCTGGGGTTGTGAGAAATGGCTGTGTCTATTAACCTAATGACTGAGGTGTTACTGTCTCAGAACTGTTTCACATGCACCTACTGGATAAATTAGTGGTGATTCAGTACCGCTGTCAATTATCTGATTTACCGATTCAATTTTTGGATATTCACTTGGTTTGATAAGTAGCATCTATACCTCATGTAATTTTCTAAGAAAAATTCCAAGATTTACTGAAAAGCTTAGTGCACTAGTTTATTACTTTGTAAAGAAACCTAAAAAAACCCCATACAATGCTGTTTTTTCATCCAAAACTGTAACTGGACCAGTAATGTAATAAAGGTGCTTACCTCAGGTATTTGAGAGCCACTTGGCTCTGTCTCTAGATTAATACCTTTGTCCTTCAGAGTGGTTTGGCTTTGGATATTCAAACGTCAATGTGAAATGGTTTCGATTTGGTGTTTTCTTTTTTCCCCTCATTTGCTGACAAGATTACTTGCTAGGGCTCAGAAAATGCACAGGCAGCAACAGAACTGGGATTTATCAGAGGCCGTTTTCCTTGCGGGGTCATTTCTCTGCTCATAATCACATATTAATATGGCTTTAGGGAATATTGATTTAGATTTGTGGGGTCAGAGAGCAAAGTCCTTTGGTTTGTTTTTTTTCCCCTGTCAAGTATGACCTGCACAGGTGAGGACAAATCAGAGGGTTGCCAGTTGTAAAAGAAGCAGCATAAGAGATGCAGTTTCAAACAAAAAAGGGAAAATCCTTATCCCAAGTCACTGGGTTTAACTAGGTATGTAGTTATATAGTTTTATCACTGAAGTAGGCATTATATAAAAGGCCTGGTTGCATGAGCTTAACCCCTCAGCTAATGGAGAGAGCTGTTTCAATTTCACTCAGTCATTCTCACTATGGATTGTATATTCAAGGGAAAATCCTCCCCGCAATACTGGGCATGCCACACTCTTAGCAGACTGACGTTTATTAACTAATACAAAGTTGCAAATGATGTACAAACACAGCTAAACAAAAGAGCCCAGTGTTGAGCCTAAATCAAGGTCCTAAATCAGAAGCCGTGGTGTGACAAACTGCACAATGTTTGCCAGTACTTTTAAAATGGGGCTTTCTTGCCAGGCTGAGAATCCATAGAGCCTGGCCAAAGAAAACAGTGGGAGGGAGCCAGGGTTCTCCCAAGTCTTGGCATGAAATCCACAATAGTAGCTTTGGCTGAGGTCCATGGAATTGAGCACATGCCCCATAAGGTCACTTCAGAACACCATAATTACTTGATATTTACTTCAGTGGGTTTTGCAGACAAAAATAAAAAAGACACCAGTACACTTTAGGGAGCAGTTCACAACCCCAGACTTTTGCCATCTCTATGCCCCTAGTGATAGGAGACCTCGTCTTATGTCCCACACGCTCTAGGGGGAGAAGTGTGAGGTTCTCTTTTATAGCAGCAAAATAGTTAAGTAGTAGTAATACCAATTACGTTGTGGTAGGGACTGGAAGGGACTCGGATCACAGTTTCTAATCTAGTCCACGTCAGTAGGGGGTGGGGACATCATTGCCACCTGATGGCTGTTTGCTGGCCTTTGTGAGCCACGACAGTGGTCATGGCTTGGATCACACAAAACATTTCAAAATCTCGGTATCTTGTCAATAGTCTCATCAGAGAGGTTGAGGACTGAATGGGCCATAGGGATCGAAGAGTGCCTTGAACCAAAATCTGAGTTTGGAATAACACACAATTAGGAGTCCAAGCTGATTTCTGAATGTCAGGGCCTGGCCTTATGCCTGACATGGACTGAACCACAACCCCTGACAGAAGTCTGCCCAGACTATATGTGGTTGTGATGGAGTTTCAAAATCCACAGGTAGATTTTAATTGAAACAGCTCTGTCCATCTCTCAAGAATAACGTTGAGTCACATCTGTGGAGCAGCCTTTGCCCAAGGCATTTTCATGCCTTAAGAGAAGACACCAGTCCCCGGGGCCCTCAGGCTGGCTCTTTGCACCCACAGGCACATTCACATGTCAGTATTTAACTTTTTAAAAAGAAACGACATTTGATTATGCAGCATTCTTGTTTTACACTTTGGTAAGGCCAGACAAAAGCAACATCCTTTAATACTTTAGCATTTTAAGGTGTCTTCGGACAGCAGCGTCTGGCAACCTCATGTTCTTTGGCAGCTCCACTGGTAGCCTCTATTCCTTCTCTGGCCTTGTGAAGTAAGAGAGAGGAAGGAAAAAAAAAAAAGCAAACTAGAGTCAACTCTGTTCTGTTTATTTTTGTTGACAGCTCCACTTGGGGTTTGTGCGTAGGCACGGGATGAAGAGAAAAAACATTTGCCCCTCAGCAGAGTCCTTGAAAAACAATGTCACATCTTAATTGTCTTGGGCTGGCAGCGCATGCATTCCACACACTCTGGAATGTAGAACTAATGAAGATAGAAGTGCAAGAAAACATATAATCAAATCCAGGGCATACCAGGCATAGCATACCATAGAGCACGCTCGTCTGAGATCGTATGTACTAGCAGCAAAATCCGGTCAGTGAAGCCTGGACAACCAAATATTTCTAGATAGGTATTTTTTAGGCACAGTAAAGCAAAGCCAAACTGCAAAATGTTTTCAGCTCTGTGTATTGCACCAAATACTTGCAATGGACAGTATTTAGAGAGATCAAGTGGATAGCTCTAAGCATGGTAGAAGAAAAAACAGTGTGTGATTCCGGCATTCGCTTTTGAAGGTGCTTCAGGAGCCGTGCACTTGGCACTGCCTTGTGTGCCAGGTGCTTTACATACATAAAGTGTATATTTATAGGACAGTGATAGAGACTAGAGATCCCAGAGGAGCTCAGAGTGTCATTGTCCTGGATTTTTACAGGCCTAGAGCAAGAGACAGTGCTTGCCCCTCAAAAGCTTACTGCACTGCCCAATATCATCTCATTGTTTCTTTGTCCTCCTTTGTCTGTCTCTCTCCATCTGTCAAACAATTGTATTGAAGTGTTTTGGGGATGAAGAGCGTCTTTCTGGTTTATGTTTGTTCAGTGCTGGCACATGGGTCTCTGGCATAGCCTGGCACAGAAGCAATGTAGACGTGTCCTTTGTCCTATATTCTACCTCTGAAATGGAATTGTCTCCCCGTTCATTTTACCATCTCATGATCACTGTATCAAAAAAGTGGTGAAAGGGGTAAACAATACAAGGCTGTTTCTTATTACTTTAGCTTTCTTTTCTGTTGTGTGTGCATGTATTTGTTTTTCGTTAAATCCTTTTCTATTAACTCCTTTCAGCTGCCTTACTGTTGTAACGGAGCCCTAATCCGATTTGTTCCTTAAAAAGACAAAGAGGAGTTAGGATGCTAGCCAGAGTTCAAGCCCTAGCTCTTCTTGAGACTTATGTAACCTGAAGCTGGTCACTATCTCTGCTCCCCAACTGTATAAAAAGGTAACAGCACTTTCCTGCCTCACAGGAGAGTAGTGCAGATCAATATGTTAGAGCGTGAGACATTTGGCTATTACTTTTGAGAAGTGTGCCTTGCCTTTAATTGTTATGATCAAGAGTTTTTGCCCCTGCTTAGTCCAGCCTCCCTGTCCTGGCCTGTTCTCTGGTTTAGCCCTATCCTCACATATAATACTTCAGCCTTGTCATTGTCAGCCAGCCCCTCCGAGTCCCGTGTTTATGAGTTCCTCTCCTGCCCTCTGCTCAGGGTACCAAAATATTCATGAGCTTTTTTTTTAAATAAAAGGCTAATTGATTTTTTTAAACTCTGATTTTTTAACTCTCCCCAACCTCTGCCTGTGCATATGTGACAATTTGTGTTGCTAGTTAACAATAAAAAGCATAATATGGGCCGCCACACCCTCAGAGTGCCCAGATCCCCACATCAGTTCTACACCCCTGCTACACAACTATTGTCCCCCTGATTCCTCTTCAGTCCCTTCCTCCTCCTTCCTCTGCCCCAGTAAGCTCCTTCTGCAGCAAAGAGAGCAGTTCCAGGTTGCATCATAAAAGGGTGTCACCAGGATTTCACAAGAGCACTCAAATCAGTGGGAGTTGGGCCTTTGCTTTCACCATCCAGATGCAGGGGAGTGCCCTGAGGTTCAGCATCCCCTCCTTGCACCCATGGTTCTGCAGGTGCCACTTTCCCAGGTTTGCCAGGTGATCATTGAAATGGTGAAGATGAGTTGCCAGGCATGCATCTCCCTGCCTGTCAGCTACACATCCCTCTCAAATATGACAACTGATGGGGAAGCCATTGGTGGGAACTTGATAAAAGGGTACAGAGGTGTCAGATAAGGAGTAGCATAACATTGGCTTTTGCTTCACTGTGATAAATCAGCAGGTGTTTTCAAGGGGCAGGTGGTTTGAACTGAAAACCAGAAACCCAATTCTTGCATCTCAGGGCTGTCTTTAACTATGTGAAGCCTAAGCCTCTTGTGAACCTAGCCCTTGGCTCTGGGCTGCAGCTCAGTACAGTTGTTGAACAGATTCAGGTATCTGCACATCTGTAAATAATGAACAATAGCAATTACGTGTTCTTTTTAAAAGACAAAGCAGCACACTGAAGGCTGTTGGCAGAAAGCAAAGCCCAGCAGGGTTTATCTTAGGGCTGCTGATTTGAACCCTCTGCTCTTTAAAAGGGCACCATTACTGCAGCACATTTGCTTAAACTCTCTTGCTGCCAAGCTGTGTGATTTCTTAGTATTGGCCACATCCTGCAGTCCTTGCTCCGGCAAAACTCCCATTAAAATAAAGACTGTCAAATGGCTTTCTTTCCCAGGTTCTTTTTCATTAACACCTCTCTGATACAGAACACCTTTGGATCAAAGGTCTCCATCCCAGATGGAAAAATGAGGCTTAGAAAAGGCTTGTGTGGCCTGAGTGGCTGAACCAGGAATAGCATTGAGTTCTCCTAGTCCCAGACTTAAGCACTACATATGGCAGTGACT